TTTTTTTTTTTTTTTTTTTTGTATTTAACTCTTATTTAAACTCCTTCTCCCTCGTTCCTCCCTGATGCAGACAGGCTAATATATGTTACTGCTGTGACACATTGAAGACTTTGAACTATTACAACTGTGAATCTTATTGGGATTAATATAGTCATTCCCCTGTCGAGGGGGCTTTCCCACCCCCTTTCTGAGCCACGTAAGAGTCTTCACTGCCTTTCAAACACAGATTATTTCTCTGCCTTCTACTGCTGTGCAGGGCGCTTAACCCCGCACCAGATTAATGGCTGTAACAGCTGTGCTGTTCAAATTGTGGTCCCAGGCCTGATACAGCTGGCAGTGTATGGGAAGGTGGGGTAAAGGCTGCCACTCGTGGGAGGCTGGCAGTTGGACACAGTTCAAATTGGACGTGGCACTGTGCTGTGGACAGGTACTATGGAGGACCTTGCCATACAAAGGCCTCAGAGAAACCCCGTCTGTCTTGCCCCCCGCCATTGACTTATCATAAGGCTGGGCAGGAGAGTCGTGTTTATGGACCTTCTATTTCAGCCCTATGTTCAGGTCAGGTAGAGCTCAGTCTCCTCTCTCTTTAGTTTTTGATAGGGGTATCTGCATTGCTTCTCCTGGGTCCCAAAGCTCTTGTCCTTTACTCTTGGCAGACATATAACACCCAGCAAATGCTAGGCCATCAGCTGGAGACACCACTCATCTCCTTTAGATTTCTCCATTGAGTGATTGTGTACTGCCAGATAATGCACTTTATGGGGCATCCCAGGGGCAGGTGCTCCTCAGTGGCCCTCCTGCTCCTCATTACGGGCTGGAACCTTGGGACTCATCATTTCCTCTGCCTGGGCCACGTCTGATTAGTCTGTGCTGACTTCTCATGACAGGAGGACTGTGAAAGGTGCTAGGTATCTAAGCAAATCCATGTTGATCCAGTGGCTGGTTCAGAGTTTGACTTGAGCAGGCTGGCATTTCCTTCCAATAAAGCCTTCCATGTGCAGCCTTTCCCTACTCTGTGTTCATTTTGTCTCCTCTGTTCTAGAAAGCTGGCTGGTGAGGGGGAGGGAAGAACCCCTGCCTCCACAGAGAACAGGTCAAGAGCACTCTGCTGTCCTCCCTAACATCTGTGGCAGGGCAGGGAGGGAACCAGATGCCCCTACTGTCTCAGACACCTGGTGAGGTGTTGAGTTGGAACTTGCATCACCGCATCCCAACACAGGGCAGAAGGAACTAGTGTCATCTATCCCCCTCCCTTCCTCCCTGATACCTAGACTCAGAGCCCTCTGCTCCTCCCTCGAGTTAAAAGGAAAAACCAGGGCAGAGTACCCCTCCTCTCTGCTCCTGACCCCATAAATGGGAGCAATGTAAACCCACAGACCTCCTGCTTTCCCTGGCACCAAAGAAAAGGGATTCTGTTCCCTTTCCAGATCTTAGAGATCTGCTGATCCCCATCTTCAGATAGCATGCGTTTCTGAGCCCTCTCTGCCCCTTTCCTGACTCCCATGACTATGCAGCCCAGCCAATTCCAGGACCCTCATGGCCCATTCTGCAGCATGCCCTACATCCCCACACTCAGGTTCTCCACCAGCATGGAGTAACAAGTGGTGTGCTAGCCCCAGGCCCCTTCACGTCTCAGTAAGAACCTCACATAGCAGCACAACTCTCTTTTGGAAAAAAGAACGCACGCCTTTCTGTTGCCTTTATTCAATGGAGCTTCAAAGGGCTCCACTCGTAGGTACAGTCCGCTGGAGGCTCTGGGACCTTTTGTCCACATCACCTGGCAGAGAATCGGTAGGAATGTCTCATCCATCCAAGGTATTTTCCAGCTTCTCCCCATGTTATAGTAACTCCCCCTCCCCCCAACCCTCTCCCTTTGTACAGTGTCACCCACATCTAAATGCCATCAGTTCTTTAGTTCTGTAGCACCACAGTTAGCTTTCTGCAAAGGTTTGCTTTTGTCTGGTGGAGTGGATGCTCGTGACCCACTCTCTCACAGCAAGCAGTCTTCAGAGATCACCTTGCTGCCTCCTCCTCCCATTTGTAGTGTGCTCCACTCTCAACCACCAGCCTCTTCCTGGAACCTGAGGTGGTTGAGGAAACAATGTACATGTTACACCTCAACTGGTTCAAGTTGGTTCAGGTGAACTCGCATGAGCTGGATGCTGTTTAGAATCTTCTTCTGGTGACCCACAAGGGTGATCCCAATCCGCTGGATATCCCTGCAAAAGTAAACATTACAGATGAGTAAGGATCTACCCTCTTGGCGATTTTGTTTTTTGTGGAAAATGAAAAAAAAAAGCAGTTTCTGTGAACCCTGTGAAAATAGCAATCTCTGCAATTTTGGTATGGAATTGCCAGGAAAAAAAAAAAACTTACTAAAAATAAAATGCTGACTCCCCAAGTGTGGCTTGTTTCTAAGTGCACCAGCCCTACCTGCCCTCACTTGTTTGGCCTGCTGGGTAGAAGACCACTGGGGTGACAAACAGCAGAAGGATGTTTCTCAGGACCTGTGTTCTCTAATATTTCAACCCCACCTGCAAAATAGTTGGCTTCAAACTTGGTTTAGACAGCATGGTCAGACCCCCAGGTGGCTGCAGGTCTCAACACTGTTGCTTCTCCCTAACCATTCAGCAGGACTCTCTGCATGGTAAACAGGGCCCCTGTGGAACCAGTTTTGGCTGGTCCTATTCCTTCCTACCAACCTGCATGAAAGGAAGCCTCCCCAAGATTCACTACCCAGTCACATGCTAATGTGCTTCATATGCATGTGGCTTGTGGGTGTACTCTCTCACTGAGGCACCATGGGAGGGCAGCCAAGTATACCAGGATGTACTGATGCCAACTCACTTGTGCACAGTGCTGTAGCAAAGGGTGTGTGTGTGTAGGGGGGTGGGGCAAGCAAGGCGACTGCCCTGGGCACCAAAGCAAAGGGGCGCCAATAGGTGCTGTCCAGCTGGGGCGGGACACAGGATGGAGCCACGAGCAAGTGGCTCACCTAGGGTGGGGGGGCATGTGAACAGGGGAAGGGCAGCTCCTGCTGCTGTGTGCACTCCTGGGTAAGCATGGGGGGGTATGTGCCCCCCAGATCTGTGTGTGGGGCACGGGCAAGCTGCCATTGCAGGCTTTGCCCTGGGCACCAAACTTCATTGCTACGGAACTGCTTGTGCAGCACCATGATTATGCAAATACACCTGAAAAAGGGTCTTGTGGAAACACAGATCCCTCCCATGTGCTCTATGGGATCAGGCAACTCTCATAAACTGGTCACAAATGCACAGCAGTTACTCAGAGTGTAAAAAGGCCTAAGAAAATGTTATGTTGGGGTGTGGCCTCTCAGGACTGCTATCTCAAATATCCTCTGTGTTCATCATAGAATCATAGAAAATGAGGGTTTGAAGGGACCTCAGGATGTCACCTAGTCCAACCCCCTGCTCAAGGCAGGACCATCCCCAACTAGATTGTTCCAGCCAGGGCTTTGTTGAGCCAGGCCTTAAAAACCTCCAAGAATAGAGATTCTACCACCTCACTGGGTAACTCCTTTCAGTGCTTCACCACCCTCCTAGTAAGAAGGTTTTTCTTAATATCCAAACTAGACTTCCCTTGCTGCAACTTGAGACCATTGCTCCTTGTTCTGTCATTTGTCACCACTGAGAACAGTCCAGCTCCATCCTCTCCTGGCAATACTATTAATGCAGACCAGTAAGCTGTTCGCCTTTTTAGCAACAAGGGCACACTGTTGACTCATACCCAGTTTATTGTCCACTGTAACTCCCAGGTCTTTTTCTGAAGAGCTGCTGCTTAGCCAGTTGGTCCCAAGACTGTACCAGTTCATGGGATTGTTTTGTCCTAAGTGCAGGGCTTTGCACTTGTCCTTGTTGAACCTCATGAGATTTCTTTTGGCCCAATCATCCAGTTTGTCTAGGTCACTCTGAATCCTAGCTCTACCTTCCAGCATATCTACTATTCCCCACAGCTTGGTGTCATCTAAGAACTTGCTGAGGGCGTAATCCATCCCATCTTCCAGATCGTTAATGAAGATATTGAACAAAATAGGCCCCAAGACTGACCCCTGGGGCACTCCACTTGATACCAGCCGTCAACGAGCCCTTGAGCCATTGATCACTACCCACTGAAAATAGTAATCCAGCCAGCTTTCTATCCACCTTACAGTCCATTCATCCAACCCATACTTCCTTAGCTTGCTTGCAAGAATGCTGTGGGAGACCATATTAAATGCCTTGCTAAAGTCAAGGTATAGCACATCCGCTGCTTTCCCTGCATCCACACAGCCAGTCTTCTCATCATACACGGCAATCAGATTGGTCAGGCATGACTTGACTTGCTCTTGCTGAATCCATGTTGACTGTGCCTGATCACTTTCTTCTGCTCCAAGTGCTTAAAATGGATTCCTTCAGGACCTGCTCCATGATTTTTCCAAGGACTGAGGTGAAGCTGATTGGTCTGTAGTTCCCCTGGATCCTCCTTCTAACTTTTTTTAGGGATAGTCACTATATTTGTCCTTTTGCAGTCATCCCAGACAACCTCCCCTGATCACTCTGAGTATTCAAAGATAATGGCCAGAGGCTCTACAATCACACCAGCCAACTCTCTTTGCACCCTCAGATGTATTGCACCCAGCCCCATGGACTTGTACATGTCCAGATTTTCTAAATAGTCCCTAACCTTCTCCTTCACCACTGAGAGCTGTTCACCTTTACCCCAAACTGTGCTTCCCGGTGCACTAGTCTGGGAGCTTACCTTTGCCTGTGAAGACTGAAGTAAAAGAAGCATTGAGCACTTCAGCCTTTTCTGCATCATCTGTCACTAGGCTGCCTCCCCCATTCAGGAAGGGACCCACACTTTCCCTGATCTTCCTCTTGTTGCTAACATACTTGTAGAAACCCTTCTTGTTACCCTTCACATCCCTTGCTAGCTACAATTCGAATTGTACTTTGGCCTTCCTGATTTCATCCCTGCATACCTGAGCAATAATTTTGTACTCCTCCCTAGTCATCTGTCCAAGCTTCCACTTCTTGTAAGCTTTCTTTTTTGTGTTTACGATCACCAAAGAGTTCTCTGCTAAGCCAAAATGGTCTCCTGCCATATTTGCTATTCTTCCTGCATATCGGGATGGTTTGTTCCTGCACCCTCAGTAAGGTTTCTTCAAAATACAACCAGCTCCCCTGGATTCCTTCCCCCTTTAGACTGACCCCCCAGGTGATCCTGTAGGGCCTCCCTATTCTGCCTGCCCCAGCCCTCCATGGAAAGCCCTGAATTCTCAGTGCCCTGTGTCCAAGCTGGCTCTACTTACTCTAGTGTCATGCGTGAGATGATGTCAAATGTGGTCAGACCAGCCTGGTCAAAATTCTCCTTGTAGCGGCCCATCTTGATGGCGTCCAGCCATTCATGGGCACTGGTGAGTGAAGGGAAGTCTGGGGGTGAGTTGCTCAGCAGGGGCTGGGATGGCCTGCAAAGGAAGCGAGTTCTCAAGGTTAACGTGGCCAACAACTATCAGCCAACCACAATACTTGGTTCAGGTGGCCTCGGAGAGATGGAAGACAAATCCAAAGCCATATGGAACATGGATGGACATTGATATATACTGCACCCCTGTCTTGGCAGCTATGTAATCATGTACCTGAGGTCCTGGGTCCACATTGTCAACTTCCTATCCCTCTAAAAACATCCAGACCATGCTGCTCAATCCTCAGTGGTTCCCTCCACACCAGACCCAATCACAGAGACCAGTGGGAAAGCATGCTCAGTTGCCTTGGACTCTTCAGCACTTGCTAGAACCTGATATGCTGGCTTGCTGAGGGTTGTGGAGGCTTTCCCATACCAGTGAAATGGGGCAAGTGGAAGGTAATCCTACATCAAAGCCCTGCAGCTCTCCAGCTGCAGGACCAGTTCCCCTCCATGGGCTGCACCCTTTCAAATAAACAGCAAGCAGCTACCTACAGGGTACAGAGCAGTTCTTAAGAGCTCTAGCACTATCCTCTGTCAAAGAAAGCACTGATGAAGCAGCAGCCAAAGGCCAAAGAACCCAACATTTCCAGATGGGATCTTCTGGTCTTCCTGCCCTTTGAGCCTGCCCCAGGCTAAAAATCTCTTTATATATCAGTGTTTAATAAACTGAGCACAGCCCTGAACTCTCCCCTCCCCCAGCCATGGACTGTGCTGCATGAGGCCGAGGCTTTATACCCATGGGAAAATCTCTCTGGGCCAGCAGGACGTGTTTCCGTCATCAACTCTGCAGCCATCTAATCCTGGCTGCATTCACCCCCAGGGACCTCCCCGCTGCTGACCTCCTGCATCTGGTTTCATTAGGCTGGGAAACGCAGATGGGAAAATATCAGATGCAAGAAACATGCAGATCCTGGTTTCAGCTGACGGTTCCCTTTCCTCTGTAAGCCCTTCCTGCTGGGTACCCCTCTTCATCCTGAGATCACCCCCAGCCCTGGCTGGGAAGTCCACCAGGCCCTGGTTACAGTCCCACTTTTTTCTGCCCAGTTGATCTCTGTCTTTAAATTCAACCCCTGGCCCCCCAAATATTGCCTAGTGCTTATGGTCCCAGCCTGCATCCCACATGCCCCCTGCCCATGGCTCTGTCTCACCTGCTGCTCCCTGTGCCAGTGGCTTTGAGAGCAGAGGGCTTGCGGATCGTCTTGTCCAGAGCACTGACTATCTGCTCAAATTTGGGCCTCTGGATTCGCTCCTTTTGCCAGCAGTCAAGCATGAGCAAGTGCAAGACAGTGGGGCAGTCAGGAGGTGGTGGTAGGCGATAATCCTGGTCAATGGCATTAATTACCTGCAGGAAAGAAAGAACCATTTCAGGACAAAGGCTTCAGCCACAGCCACACACATGGGCCTGTGCTCTCTGTAGGGCAGGAAGGGCATTCCTGACCTGCTGCAGACCTTTCTCAACCTGCCAGAACTTACATCCTGGTTGGACATGTCCCAGTATGGCCTCTCGCCATAGGACATCACTTCCCACATGACGATGCCGTAGCTCCACACATCACTGGAGGATGTGAACTTCCGGTACTGGATGGCTTCAGGGGCAGTCCAGCGAATGGGGATCTTGCCACCCTGAAGAGCAATGGGAGAGGGAAAGCAGATGAGAGAGAGAAAGCAGATAGTCAATGAGGCATGGAGATAGTCATTTGAGGTCAGCCTGGCCCAGTACATGGGGGGTCAGCTCTTGACTGATCTGGTGTTGGCTAAAGTTGTGCTTAGGGCCCTACCCCATCCTGTTGACATGACCAGGAACAGAATCAATCCTATTGCCTAATGGTGTTTTGCCCCAATGGCTGGGTTTCTCTTAAGGTTACGAGGGAGTGACTCCCATTGTAATTCAATTGGAGTTGGCCACATGAAGACCCCTGGACTCCTTTGAACATTCCAGCACTTCTTTCTCCTCCTCTATCCCAAGGACACATGTTCATGGTGAGAAGCTCCTGATTTCCTTCCTCTTCCCACCTGACAGAATAGCCAAGCACTCCCTGCTACTGGCCCTGCTCAGACCACATGACCCCAACTTCTGTCTCCCCGCTCAGCTGCTGGCTCATTTGGCCTTTGCTCCCTGGGAGGCAGCCCCCTGCCCCTGTTCGAGTTCTCTTGAAGTGAATACAGGGACGTGTCAGATCTTCATGTGCCTTGGCTGGTTTAGGTGCTGCTTGTTAGGGGTCTTCTTAGTAGGTATTTTATCTCTAGCAAAAGCCTAATGCTCCCCAAAATGGAGGCAGGAGGGGATTTCAGTCTGTGATTTTTTCCATCTATGGTCCTTCTGCTGTGATGGTCAGCCAAATGGCAAGTTAATGCCAACTGCAGTTGAAGAGGCTTGTTTCTTATCTCACAAGAAACTGCACTGAATCCTCTCCAGCTTATTTGGCAGAGGTGATCAGAATGCTGTGACTGTTGGTTACTACTTGTCTGGGCTGGATTGAAACTGGTGAACCCAAGGGGGAAGGGTGGTATCCCACAGAACAATTTCTCCAGCTCCCCCAGGGTGGAGGATGGGCTGAAACTGGTATGGCAGACGCAAAAAGCTTGTTACCCCTTGCCTGGTATCCATGACCTATTGCCATTTCTGCAGGTTAGGTCAGCACCTCCAGGTCTATTACATGAAGCTAACTGTGCAAACATGATAGGTCTGTGTAGTGCAGCTGGAAAAGGAGACCCTGAATCACTCACCACCCATCACTCACCAGGGCTCCAGTATAAGTGGGATTTGAGGCATCATCTTCCAAGAAGCGGGACAAACCAAAGTCTGACACCTTGCACACCAGGTTGCTGTTGACCAGGATGTTGCGGGCAGCCAGATCGCGATGCACATAGTTCATGTCGGAGAGGTAACGCATGCCAGCTGCAATCCCGCGCAGCATTCCCACCAGCTGTAGTACACTGAACTGGCCTTCCTTTTGCTGCAGGTGGGGAGAGAGATGCACAAGGACACCAAGAGATTCAGGCCTTCACAGGCACTGGACATGCAGCTCTTCTCCAGTAAAGAGAAGCACTGATCAGGGAGATTGAGAAGGGGGTATGTGAAGGAAGAAAGCAATGTATAGCTAAGTTCAGTTAAGACTTGCAGGGACAAAACAGACACCAAGAAGAAGTAAGAGGCTCACAAGTGTTATCACATGAGACCCCCCCACTTCTGAAGATAGAGCTCTTGGGCAAACACCAACTCCTAGTTGCTGAGGCTCAGTGTGCACTCCCCTCCATGTCAGCGAGATACCCTGGAGACATGGCAAAATACTCCTCTGAGGGCTGCTATTCTCATCTGATCTATATAGCTGGGCTCCAACCCTCCATGCCCTTCCAAATCTAGAAAAGCCTGTGCATGACTGTGATAGGATTAATGGCAAATAATCTCAATAAAAAGGTGATGCAGCCACACCAAAAGCAGAAAAGTACATGTGCTCAGGTTGGGGGGGGAGGGGGTCATAAATTCAGTCAAGGGAAAAAAAAACCTCTGGAAACTCTTAACAGTCCAGAAATGGCCTATAACTGACTGGAAACTTTACAGTTTAAAGAATAAAGAAGTCCTACCACTTTGATGAGATGGGGTTTCATGGGGCTGAAAGTGTCCTATGGAAGGCAGCTTGAAAGCCACCACACTGGGAGAGTGTGTACAAGGACAGTGCAGAATGACAGTAGGCACTAAGCAAATGGGAATACTTTAGGCTGAATATAATATATTTCTGAACTAAGGAGGGTCTCTTGGACTACGGTGTTTTCACAGGCCTGATGAACTTCTTTCCAGGGTACTGCAGTGACTAGCAAAGGAGATCTCAGAACCCTTGGCACTAATATTTGTGCAGTTGTGGGAGATGGCTGAGGTACAAGACGACCGGAAAAGAACCAACATAGTTCTCTTCTTTAAAGAAGGCAAAAAGGAGGATCTTGAGGCCTGGGAAGTTACTGGAGCAGATTATAAGGGAATGTATTTACAAGAATCTGGATGAGGAAAGGCTGATCACAGGCAGCCAACATGGATTTATAGTTTCATAGTTTCTAGGGTCGGAAGGGACCTGAGCAGATCATCTAG